GTGTGTGTGTGTGTGTGTGTGTGTACGGCTGCATTCCAACTAGTGAGGCTGTGCGTCTGTTCAGCTTGTGCATGTACAAACTTTGGTTGCTTCACATGATTTCATAACCTAAAATCACTCTTTTCTGTTTGTTTGCTGGATTTTTTTCTAATACCCCGGTTGTTGACATCAACCCAGTTCGTCTGTTAGCAAAACATCCCATAAACCGCTGGAGAAAATTAAATGAAACTTCCAGACAATAGTCACTGGCYGCACATCTAAACGTGATTTTGTTTTGGAGTCAGCCCACATCAAGATGGCCACCACAGCTAACTGATGTCAGCCAAAATATAAATGGCTATAACTCAGTGAATTATAAACCTATACAGCTCAAATTTGATAAAGTGATAGCTGAGAATCATTCACAACTTTGAGAGTGACATCATATTACAGGAAATTGTGCACAATGTTATTTTCAAGGTTTGACCAAAACTACTACATTCCTCATTGTATGATTATTTTAGTCAATATGCACTCATTTAGAAAATACTAGGCCCCTGAATTWTTTATGCATACTCCAATGTTTGTTTTAAAATGTAAAAATTATGAAAATCACTGCTGAAACAATGTTTTCACACAGCTGCAAACACATGATCTAAATKTAAAGCCAAATRCAAGAAAAGAAGYGAAAATGAGGTAAGTTGAAATGATCAGAAATGTTACTCTTTTTAGAAAAATATCAACAATAGTCTCCTAACAGACTTGTCACTCAGTGCTTTGATGTGGCCTTCGGGCCATGGAGCAGGGTGGAACCTCCAACACAAGGCCCACATTGTGCCTCTTGAACTGATTGATGTTGTCTTTTGGCTGACTTCAGCTCTCCTGCTTCTCACAAATATGCATGCTGCGGAACAAAGACAGGAAGTAGAAGTCTTATGCTTGGATTTCAACACTGACTAAAAATCTTTATCCAAACAAACAAAAAAAAACATACTGTAATTTCTAAACTTACGATAATAGTAGATCAGCTTGATCACCGTCTGTTCTACTGAAAGGTCAGAGGTCAGGTGCCAGTGGGGGCTGGATATGGTAAAAAAATA